TGAAAAATCAAGAGGAAAAAAAAATGTAAACATCACGAGAAATTACTAAAGCACTGACAACAGATGACTGTATGGAGCAGAAATCAGAGATAGAATGGGGCAGGTAAAGGGACTGCTGCTTTGTTTTGTTGTTTAAAACCCTGTAATTGACTTTTTAGCTGTGTGCTTACATATTATGAGTTTTAGAAACATTAAGGCTCAAAAAAAGTGGATTATGATGAATGGATATGAAGATGTGGTTTTTTTATACACTGGCATACCAAACATTAAAAAGAATAAACTTGTGACATTTCTAGGTAAATGGATGTGCCTTGAGACCCTACTCTTAAGTGAAATAAGTCAGACAGAAATTGTGTAAAATCATATTGTTTCTCTGTTGTGAGAAACTGAAAGTGTAAATAAGGACCAAAATGTATAACAGATACTGTGAAATAGGAAAAAAAAAGTTCAAATGGGAAGGGGAACCAGGGAGAGGGGAGGGGGAAAGGAAGGAGGAGAAAAGAAAAAAAAAAGAGAAAAGAAAACATGGAAGCAAAGTTTTTGTACAGCTTTTTTTTTTTTCTTTTTGTATTTTAGGGAAGGGTCTACAGGGTATTGAGGGTCTCACTACTACATCGGACTTGTAGTGATCACCTGTTTACAGCCTCCCAAGAGCTGAGATTACAGGTGCACGCCACTATGCCCAGTCTCAATTGCCATCTCAGTGCGCCCTGGGGGCGAGGCCAGCACTGCAGGCCTGGGGATTGAACCCCCAGCCCCTGCGCCTGCTTTCAGGCACTTTAATCTGCTGAGCTATTTGGCTGGCCCCAAAGATTTTGTAAATAGGGAGAGGAAGAAGGGTAGAAAGGAGGTTAGTGGAATGGAAAAAAATAAATAAATAAAAGAATTAAGACATGTCAAGCACAGGTATATATTCTCTATGATGGATGTGATTATTATGTATACCTGAAATGTACCAAGAAACTTTATTTTTTAAAAGTGGGTTAAAAGTGGGAAGAAAAAAAATAGGGTAGAAAAAAATAAATCAAGTCAAAGGCAACATGAGGTCCAACATCTATGATTGCTACAGGTAGGCTGAAATTTAGTTCTGAGCTTTTTGCAGCCAGCACAAAGTGAGCAACATAATTGTTCCTACTATTTCACAATGTCCAACAGATAAAAACAAACCACTTACTCAAGCGAAGTGCATCTATTTCCGGTACTGAGCTCTGAGAGACCATTTCCCATCTGTCCACCTAGAGAGGACAGTGCGAGATACAGTGAACCACATCCTCAGTAGCTTGCTGACGGTAAATGCAACATTAAGTTTCATAGAGCTGTTTCTTATCATGTCCCTCAAATGCCAGTGTAGAGTCCAGTAAAACCAATTCATGAGATTAAACATCTGTTCACTTAAGGCAAAAAAACATAGCGGAAAGGCTGGTGGGCCTGGGTTCCAAAGCTCTCTCTCAAGCAAGTTATTGACTCTGAACTTAGGTTTTTCATTTATAAAATGAATCTAAATGCAAGCATTTCATAAGATTTTGTGAGGATTAAATGAGTTTATGCAAATGAAGCACAGAGAATAAAGTGTGATATATTTAAGCTGTTTATTTTTTTTTTTAAATAGTATCTGAGTGAAGGTAGCTCAGTGGTAGAGTACTTGCCTAGCATACAGGAAGCTCTGGGTTTGATTTTCAGGACTGAAAAGAAAAAAAAAAACATTATTCAAGTCATTTGTGGTGGCTCATGGCTATTGCCCAACACTCAGGAAGCTGAGGCAGGAAAGTTGGTTAAGCCCAGGAATTTGAGTCTAGCCTGGGCAATATGGTAAGTTCCAGTCTCAAACAAAACATAACAAAAGCAATCTATTATTCAGACTTTATGAAAAAAAAAATGGACCTTATATATTAAGACTATGTAAAGAAAATTGTGTGTCCTGGTAGAGGGATAGACACTTAAGACGAATGGACCAGAATAGTGAAATAGGCCTACATAAGAAAGGGCAACTGATTTTCAACAACGATGCAAAAATCATTCAAGAGAAGAAAACTGGTCTCCAAACAATGATGGAAAAACAACAGGAGGAAAGACATTTATCAACATATGATGCTAGGACAACTGTAAACAAACATCCATAAACAAAGAAATTAACTTCAACCTAAACGTCACCTCACACTTTATACAAAGGCTAACTCAAAATGCATAAAAGATTTAGATGAAAGTGTCAAATTATAAAAATTTTTGGTGAAACCAAGAAGAAAATCTTCAGGACATATGGCCTGGTGAAGATGTGACACCCAAAGATGATCCATAAAAACTGGGTAAATTGCACATGATAAAACTTGAAATTGGTCTGCAAGGGGTCCTGTTCAAAAAATGAAAAGACAAGACACAGAATGGGAGAAAATATCTGTAAATCGAACTATTACAGAAAATATTATAAGCCAAACATTTGACAAAAGATCATAAAGAACTCTCAAAAATCAAATGAAAGGAAATAAGCAGTCCAACTAGTAATAACCAAAAAAGACATAAAAAAAAAAATTTCTTCAAAGAAGATATACAGGTGGCAAATAAGCAAATGGAAATATGCTCAGCATCATCAGCCATAGGTAAAATGCAAATTAAAACCATCGTGAGATATCAGTGGCCTATCAAAATGGCTAAAATAGCAACACTACCAAATGCTTTTGTCAAAAACTTATTCTTACATGTTGCTGGTGGTAATGTAGAATGGTATATATACTCTGCAAAGTTCTCTCACAAATAAAATAAATAACTAAACCTGCACTTAACATAGAACCTAGTAATTGTATCCTAGTCATTTACATACAGAATGGAAATTTAGGTCCACATGAAAACATGTACAAGAATGCTCATCACAGCTTTATTTCAAATCATTTAAAATTGGAAACAACCCAAATGTTCTTCAGTGGGCAAAAGAGTAAACAAATTGTGCTGAATCCATATCGGGGAACCCTAAGTGATAGAAAGAAACAAGCTATTGACACATGCTACATTTGGATGGATGCTAGAGGATTATGATGAATAAAAACAAATAAAAGCCTATTTTAAAAACTTAGAAACTATATGATTTATATAACCTCAAAATGATAAAATTACAGAGATGAAAGACAGATTAATGGTATCAGAGATTAAGGAAAATGGAAATGTCTCAGTTACTCTTTTCTCGTTGCTGGGACAAAATACTCAGCACTCAAAATTAGGGAAGGAAAGGTTTATTTAGCTCACAGTTACCAGAGGTTTCAGCCCATACTCAGCTGGCTCCAAGGCAGAGTGGCACATGGCAGAGAGCAGCCTTTCATGGTGGCGGCACAGAGAAGAGCAAAGGGAATGGCATGGGCTCAGGCAGCTAGCTAGCCTCTCTCCCCTCCTTACACTCTAATGCAAACTACCTGCCCCAGGGTGAGTGCAGCATCCACACCCACAATAGTCAGTCACAAACTCCAGAAGCTGCCCACTGACTGCATGAGGCTTTGAGGGGACAACTAGACACAAGCCGTTACAGGAAGAATAAAGGACCATAGCAAGGTAGCATGAGGGATCTTTGTGGTAATAAAACAGTGAATCTTTTACACATTTGATGAGACTGCTGGAACTATATACATATACACAAACACACAAAAGTGTGTAAAAATGGTGAAGTCAGGGAGCTGACAATGGAGTTCAGTGGTAAAGCACTTGCAAAGCATACATGAAGGCCTGAGTTCAATCTCAGGCACTATAAGAAAAGGCAAAATCTGAAGAAGACCTATACATTGTACCAACATCAATAGCTTGTGTGTGAAATCACACTACAGGTATATATTACCTCTGGAGAATACTAGATAAAGCTTTATTATATTTAATGTTTCCTATGACTATAATATTTTGAAAGAAAAAGGTTTTTAAAATGTATTTAGTAGTGTAGTGGTACACATCTATAATCCCATCATTCTGAGAGGCTGAGACAGGAGGATCATAAATTCTAGCCAAGTATGGGCAACTTAAACACTTAGTTAGACCATGGCTCAAAAGAAAAAATAAAGGGCTGGCGAGATGGCTCAGTGGAATAAGCGGCTCAGTGGAATAAGCGCTTCTCTAGTGAGAGCAAGGGCCTGAGTTCAATCCCTGGTTCTGCCAAAAAAAATAAAAAATAAAATAAAATAAATAGGGCTGGGGAGATAGCTCAGTAGAATAAGCAACTGCCTGGTAAGCACAGGGCCCTGAGTTCAATCCCCAGTACTGCAAAATAAATAAATAAATAAATAAATAAATAAATAAATAAATAGGGCTGGGGAGCCAGGAACTTAGTGCAAAGGTACAAAGGCCCTGTGTTCAATCCCCTGTACTATTACACACACACACACACACATACACACACACACACACATACATACACACTGTTCAGTAAGCTCTATAATGAGACTTTATTAATTAGGAAATTAAATTTTCTGACTTTACTGGACATCATAAATTGGTTAAGACAGATTTAACTAGTAGTGGTGCGTACCAGTAAAGTCACTTTTATTTAACAAACTAATATAAAATGATAAGTTAAACATTTGAGGTGTTGGTAAAACTATGGTAATTCATCTGAAAACATGGGGCTGGGAAGATAGCTTAGTAGAAGCCAGGGAGATTGCTCAGTAGAAAAGTGACTGCCTCGCAAGTGCAGGGTTCTAAGTTCAATCCCCGGTACTGCAAAAAAAGAAAAAAAAAAAAAAATGCTCATCTGAAAACACAGAGAAGGCCAAGCAGGGGTGTGGACCAGATGCTTTTGTGACAGCTTGCTATTTCAAGCAGAGAAGCAGCTTACTGCCAAGGGTCCTTACAGAGCTGCACTGATTACCCGGCATCCACTGTCCAGGCCTTAGCCTGTCAGGCACAGTGAGCATGGCTTGACACTCACTGAGCTCAGGAGACTGACATCCTATGCATGACCAACTTACCTGCAAATGAAGATGTACAAGAAAACCAAGTTTCTTTTTGTTCTTTAGCAGGTCATACTTGTGTGACTCATCCATTCCTCCTCTTAAAGTGGAAATTCACCATCCTAATCAGACTGTTCCTTGGTGAGCATGGAGTCGGAACTGGAAATGAGACAGTAATTCAACATTTAACAGGGTCAGGCTATCCTAGAGCCGCAAATCAATGTCCCAGTAGGGATGCCGGAAAGCGCTGACGTGCACTGGCTGGCACTCCTTGAATCCAAGCTAGTGTGAACATATTCTCCCTGGAGGGCTCAGGGACAGATGGCTCCACCACTCTCTCCACAGACTACTCTTGTTCTATACTTCCACATCTTAGCGTCCCTTCCACCCAAGAGGCAATTCCTGCTCACCCAGGATTCAAGTTTTTTCAGAATGGCTTTGCAGAGATCTCTTCCAATCACTTATGTAGAGCCTTTAAATTTGAACTTTGAAAAAGCTATATATATATTTTTTGTTCTTGTGTTAGTCTTCCTACATCCTCCGCATCCTGATAACTATCTTAGAAGATCTTTAATTTGGGCTTTTAAACACCAGAAGCAGGCATAGGGGCCGGGGGTTCGATCTCCAGGTCTGCCTTGCCAGCCCCGAACTGGGGCGTGCTGAGACAGCAATTGAGACTGGTGTTGGCATGTGCCTGTAATCCTAGCTCTTGGGAGGGTGTAAACAGGAGGATCATTATGAGTCCAATCTAGTAGTGAGACCCTGAACACCCTGTAGACCCTTCGCTAAAATAAAAATAAATAAAATAAACACCAGAAGCTTTGAACAAACTGTCCTAAATAATTTAAAAATAATTATACATTTAAAAAATTACAACACGACAATCATTAAAAAATAAGTTTAAAGTGTTGAGTTCACATTTTAGGTTTTCAGTAGTCTTGTGAAAATTCTTTGTATTGTTTTATTAACATATCTAAACCTCATATTTATCAATAACTTAGTACAGATTAGGCAAGTCTGTAACATTTCCTCCTGATCCTTGCAGAGAAATCATTGACATTTTAGTGAAGTATTTCAAGTCCTTTTTTTTTTAAGTTCTCAAGATGTTTAAATGCAACTTTTATGGTAATTCTTCACCTGTGTATCTACATGTAATACTGAGAATTATTATCTTATTCTATTTTGTACGAAAATAAGAAAATATAATTAAGCCAGGCATGGTGGCATACAGCTATAATCCCAGCACTCTGGGAAGTTGAGGCAGGAGGACTGCAATTTGAGCCCAGCCTTAGCAAGACCCTGCCTCAAAATAAAATAATAAAGGGGTAGGGGTATACTCAGTACTAAGGCTCTGAGTTCAGTCTCCAGTACCAAATTTTTTTTTTAAGAAACAAACAAAATTATCATAATCATAATAGGTTACAAGGCTTTTTCCCATAAAACACTTAACAAATTTCATCACCCATGGAAGCAAGAATAACACTTGGCCTGAGCCCCCCCCTTCAAACTGTTTATTTTGTATTCTCTAGTATCAATTTGCTTGCTTTACCTCTCTTTTTATCACTATTTTTCTTCTTCTCTAGTACCACGCCCCCCCCCCCCTACTAGGGATTGAAGCCAGTGCCTTTGTGCTGAACTGCATCCCCAGGCGTTTTTATTTTATCTTGAGACAGGGCCACTAATAGCAGAGCTGAGCTCAAGTCTCTCCCTCAGTCTCTGAGTGCTGAGATCACAGGAGTGTGCCACCACCCCAGCTTTCAGTTTTCTTAAAATGGCTCAAATAAGGTACGCACCACTACTAGTTAAATCTGTCTTAACCAATTTATGATGTCCAGTAAAGTCAGAAAAATATCACAAAGGGCCGGCGAGATAGCTCAGTGGACTAAGCACCTGCTTTGGCAAGCACAGGGACCAAGATTCAATCCCAGGTCCTGCATGCTGGGCTGGCCCCACCCCTGGGAGCCAGCTGCTGAGTCCGGGAGTGGTGGTGCATGACTGTAATCCCAGCAGTGGGGAGGCTGAAAACAGGAGGTTTACTACGAGTCTGAACTGCATAGTGAGACCCTGTACCAAATACATAAAATGAAGGAAAAAGAAAGAAAATCACAACTGACCTTGCCTCGTGAGTGATTATATTATAGTTTTATGTATAAAGGTAAATGGATTTGCTGTGGCATGCTAGGATTTCTGAAATAATTTACGACAGTTTCAGGGTTAAGGCAAAGTTAAGAAATTGAAGGGAGTTTTTTTTCATTTTAAAGCTTATTTCCAACAATTTGAGAGTTAAGCTTAACATGTTCCTATGAAGTTGCACCCATTTTATTTTGATTCCTTGACTATTACTGAAACACAGAATGTTTATGACACAGTATATTTACTTTGAGCTCTACTTGACTTAAACTCGTATATATGATCCTTTTATTTATGCAAACTTGAAATAATACTAATAAACTAGTCATGTTCAACTGTATCCTTTGAGATGAAGAGACGCAGGCACAGCCCAAGAGTGCGGTCACACGGGCTCCACTGCCTCTCCACGTGACACAGACAATGACTGCACTCACTGTCCGTGCAAGTGACCGTTCACTCCAAGGCATACTTTGCTAAATACAGAACATCAGGGGCTAGAAGACGAGTCTGAGGAGAGCCAGTGTGCTTGCTTTAGTTAAGATAAAAAGATCCAGCTCCCTGTATTACTCCCCACTGATTCCAGCCTCCTGCAGTCAGGGCATCAGAACAAGTTGTATCCACATTCACAGAGCTTCAGTCAGGGTCAGGGCACACTCTATGACACTCCCTTAGCCAGGAGGGCATCGTAGCACAAGAAGAAATATCTACTGTCGCTATGAAATATGAGGTGGCAAGAATGTCTCTTTACAGCACGGCATGGTGGTACACACCTATAATCCCAGCACTCAGGAGGCTGAGGCAGGAGGATTGCCAGGAGTTCAAAGCCAGCATGAAGTACATAGTAGAGTCCCTGTTTCAAAAACTCAAAATAGGGGCTGGTGAGACGACTCAGTGGTCTAAAGCACCTACTTAGAACAAGCTAAGCTAAGCAAAGCACAGGGACCGCGGTTCAATCCCCAGCACCACATGCCAGCCAGCCCCGCCCCCTAGTGGGCTGAGCTGGCCACACACACACAAAATAAATAAATAAATAATAAACTGAAAAAAAAAAACCCTCAAAATAAATCAATAAATAATCTTTAGACTTGGTTTTCTTCTTCTTTTTTTTTTTTTTTTTTGTATTTAGTACAGGGTCTACAGTGTCTATAGGGTCTCACTTCATATGTCGGACTCCTAGTGATTCTCCTGTTTTCAGTCTCCCAGGTGCAGGAATACAGCCACGTGCCACCATGCACGATCTCAGTCACTGTCTCAGCTCCCACCATGGGCAGGGCTTGCACCACACGCCGGGAATGGAAGCCCAGTTGCTATGCTTTGCCTGAGCAGGCACTTTAGTCTGCTGAGCTATCTGGCTGGCCCTATTAGACTTGGTTTTCATTACAAAAAAATAAAATCAGATTGGACATAAGGGGCTTACTTTTGGAGTAAGTCTTATAAATCTTTCAACCCACTTATTAAAATGCTTACAGTTCCCATTTCATTGCAGATGAAATAATACTGAGCAAAGGAAGTCAATCGCATTTTTATTAAGCTAAACAAAAAGATGTGCAAACCTTAGGAAATTAAGTAGCAAATTAAAATTCACAAAAACTCACAGGTACATTTTATCAAAATCCACAAATAGGGGCCGGGGAGATGGCTCAGTAGGATAAGCGCTTGATTGGCAAACGCAAGGATCTGAGTTCAATCCCTGGTTCCACCAAAAAAAAAAAAAAAAAAAATCCACAAATAGACATAGTAATATATCTTCTTCACTGACTGTACCACAAGTCTAAATGAAAAACAAAATAAACAATAATGCAAATAGGGCTTTTTAAAATTCATATTGTTCATTTAGCGACACAGCAGATTGAGGGCTCATCAGGACCCACAACGAAGTATCCAGAGTAATACCTTTTTATTCCCCCAGAATTTAGATTAACAGTTTATAACAAATATGTTCTTAAGCAGTCTCTTTATTTGTTCTTTTCTCATATGTAGGGTGGGTATGAGAGGAAGTAGGTCAAAACAGTTATGCAGTTAGTACCATGTTGTGTGTGGTGGCACATGTCTGTAATCTCAGCTCTTGGGAGGCTGAGGCAAGAGGATCACTGTGAGTTTACAGCCAGCCTGAACTACATGGAGAAACCCTGACTAGAAAGAAAGGGAAAAAAAAAAAGAGTAATACATTACCTCTTATACTTAACATTTTAAAATTTTGTATTTACTGGTTCACATTGTGTATTATTTAATATTTGATTATTTAAGTAGTGGATCCATATGACCTGTCTATGTGATATATATACTAGCGGGGTGTTGGAAGTCTGTTCTTCAAAATAATTAATTCCTGACCTACCCTTTTCCGCACGGTAATGGTTCCCACCATGGCAAACTGAAGCTATTCATGTGGAGTCGGAAGGAGAAGTGCATGTTTCATTTTTCTGTGCTAGTAGCGGGCTCCAGTATACCACTGTATATGTCTGTATACACATACACATGCATATATACTCATGTGTATACAGTCACACACCTATGTGTACAAGTATGTCTATATTGCGCACACACACACACACACACACACACACATTTTCAAGAAGCCTATGGAAGAGTGAACGAGACTGAAGCCAGTGTCGACCTTAAAATCCCACCTCTACCACTCACTAGTTATGACCTTTGGCCAATCACTTAATTCTGTGCTTTAATTTCCTCTTCAGCATAATGAGCACAATTAGTTCCCTATAAGGTGTTATAAATTAATTAAATATACACAAATGCTAACAATGGCAATAATATGCGTAAGAGCTACGTGACATTCACTGTTATTGTTGCTATTATTATTATCCCTATGTTTGACTTTGCATACACATAGTGATCTGTCAGGATCTGTCCCAGCCACTGTTGGGTCAGGTCCTCTGAGCCAACACCTCTGCCCCAGGGCCTGCCTCTTTCCTTTTGCAGGTTCATGTGGCCTTGTAGGGATCCAGTTCTGTCATCACTGTGCAGCTTTCGGCCTGAGGCAGGTGCCCTTCCCTTCCCAAGCCTCATGTCTG